GCATTTAAACACTATTTTGTTAAAAGATGGCTTCTTTAAAGAATGTTTCTCATTTCTTTGGAAAGAGTGGAAAACAAAAAAATCTCAGTCTGTTTCCATACAACAATGGTGGGATATTGGAAAAATAAAAATTCAACAGTTTTGTACTCAATTTACCTCCAATGTCACAAGAGAGCGTGTACAATCTATAAAGGATCTAGAGATGGACATAATGGATCTTCAGGCTTTGAGTGGATCTACAGGAGATGCAGGTCATTTTTAGACTCTCAAAATGAAAAAGACTGCTTTGGCTGATCTACTTGGGATTAGAGCACAGGGGGCGTTAGTTCGCTCACGCTTTCAAAGTGTTACTGAAATGGATGCCCCTTCTAAATTTTTCTTCAACTTGGAGAAAAAAAATGGTCAAAGTCGACTCTTTCATAGAATTCGAGCAGAAGATGGAAGTGAGTTAATGGAAACAACGGAAATAAGAAAAAGAGCTGTGGACTTTTTTCTAAGCTTTATGCCTCTGAATACAAAGAAGATGCTGACACGACAGAAAACTTTCTAAATGATCTGCCAAACATTTCAGCTGAGGACAACACGGCCTTAGAGCACCTTCTGACCATGCAGGAACTGCAAGTAGCGCTGGCGAGCATGGACAATGATAAAGCTCATGGAATAGAAGGCCTGCCTGTGGAGTTCTACAGAACCTTCTGGACCCTTGTGTCAGAGGACTTATTAGAGGTTCTAAATGACAGCAGAGCGAGGGGAAGATTACCACTCAGCTGTCGAAGAGCTGTGCTCACTCTTCTACCTAAAAAAGGTGATCTTTGTGAAATAAAAAATTGGAGACCAGTCAGTCTTCTACAGTGAGGAAAATAAGTATTTGAACACCCTGCGACTTTGCACGTTCTCCCACTTTGAAATCATGGAGGGGTCTGAATCTTTCATCTCGGGTGCTTGTCCACTGTGAGAGACATAATCTAAAAAAAAAAAATCCGGAAATCACAATGTATGATTTTTTTAAACAATTTATTTGTGTGTTACTGCTGAAAATAAGTATTTGAACACCTGTGAAAATCAATGTTAATATTTGGTACAGCATCTTTGTTTGCAGTTACAGAGGTCAAAGGTTTCCTGTAGTTCTTCACCAGGTTCACTGCAGCAGAGATTTTGGGCCATTCCTCCACACACATCTTCTCTAGATCAACCAGGTTTCTGGGCTGTCACTGAGAAACAGAGTTTGAGCTCCCTCCAAAGATTTTCTATAGGGTTTAGGTCTGGAGACTGGCTAGGCCACTCCAGAACCTTGATATGCTTCTTACGGAGCCACTCCTTGGTTCTCCTGGCTGTGTGCTTCGGGTCATTGTCATGTTGGAAGACCCAGCCTCGACCCATCTCCAATGCTCTCACTGAGGCGAGTGGAATTAAGACCAAAAAGTTCTATTTTGGTCTCATCTGACCACAGAACTTTCTCCCATGACTCCTCTGGATCATCCAAATGGTCATGGTCAAACTTAAGACGGGCCTGGACGTGCGCTGATTTAAGCAGGGGAACCTTCCGTGCCATGCGTGATTTTAAACTATGACCTTTTAGTGTATTACCCACAGTAACCATGGAAACAGTGGTGCCAGCTCTCTTCAGGTCATTGACCAGCTCCTCCCGTGTAGTTCTGGGCTGATACCTCACCTTTCTTAGGATCATCGATACGCCACGAGGTGAGATCTTGCATGGAGCCCCAGTCCGAGGGAGATTGACAGTCATGTTTAGCTTCTTCCATTTTCTAATAGTTGCTCCAACAGTTGATCTTTTTTCACCAAGCTGCTTGGCAATTGCCCCGTAGCCCTTTCCAGCCTTGTGGAGGTCTACAATTTTGTCTCTGGTGTCTTTGGACAGCTCTTTGTTCTTAGCCATGTTAGTAATTGGAGTCTTACTGATTGTGTGGGGTGGACAGGTGTCTTTATGCAGCTACCGACCTCAAACAGGTGCTTCTAATTTAGAATAATAAGTGGAGTGGAGGTGGACGTTATAGAGGAGGACTAACAGGTCTTTGAGGGCCAGAACTGTTGCTGATTGGCAGGTGTTCAAATACTTATTTGCAGCAGTAACACACAAATGAATTATTTAAAAAATCATACATTGTGATTTCCGGATTTTTCTTTTAGATTATGTCTCTCACAGTGGACATGCACCTAAGATAAAAAAATTCAGACCCCTCCATGATTTCTAAGTGGGAGAACTTGCAAAGTCGCAGCGTGTTCAAATACTTATTTTCCTCACTATATGTACTGATTATAAGATGTTTTCAAAAGCCCTGGCGAACAGATTGAGAAAAGTGATTGACCAAGTTATACACACTGACCAGTCATACTGCATCCCTGGTAGACTTATAAGGGATAATATATCCCTTATTAGAGACGTTTTGGACACCTCTGGTTCACTGGATTTAAAGCTTGGTCTGATTTCCCTTGACCAAGAAATGGCATTTGATTGAGTGGAGCATCAGTATTTATGGAGTACTGTTGAAGCTTTTGTTTTTTCCCCTGGCTTCATTGCTCTGATTAAAACACTATATTGTGACATTGAAAGTATATTGAAAATCAATGGTGGTTTAAGTGCTCCTTTTTTTTTTACAGAGGGGAATTTGACAAGGCTGTGCAATGCCAGGTATGCTCTATTCAATCAGTATCGAACCTCTGTTATGCCAGATCAGAAAACCATTGAATGGTGTAAAATTAAAACAACATTTTTCATCATTGCATCTTTCTGCATATGCAGACGATATTGTGGTGGCTGTTACAAACAGTCATGATTTTCAAAAACTAACTGCTATCACTGAAAGTTTTGGCAAGATTTCTTCCTCAAAAATAAACTGGGGAAAGAGCAAAGCTTTGTTAATAGGCAAATGGCAAGGAGACGAGCCCAGACTACCTGATGAATTTAAGTGGGTAAAAAATGGTTTTAAATATCTAGGTGTTCATTTAGGTGATCATGTGGAGGTTATGAAAAACTGGGAAGGTGTAGTTGAAAAAATAGAAAGAAAACTGAAAAAATGGCGCTGGCTTTTGCCAAGACTGTCCTACAGGGGGCGAACACTTGTTATTAATAATTTGGTGGCTTCTACATTGTGGCATCGTTTAGCTGTACTGGAACCGCCACCAAATTTATTAATGAAATTACAAAGTATTATTGTTAATTTCTTTTGGGACAGACTTCACTGGATACCTCAAAGTGTACTTTTTTTTTACAAAAAGAAGAAGGTGGTCAGGGCTTGATTCATCTTGAAAGCAGAAAAGCTGCTTTCAGGCTACAACTTGTGCAGAGTTTTCTGTATGGGGACCAAAATGTATTGTGGAGACAGGTGGCAGAATGTCTTTGTCAGCAAGTTGGTAACATGGGTTTGGGAAAGACATTGTTTATCATTGACTGTTCGGGAATCAGCACAAATGGTCTATCATCCTTCTACATTAATGTTTTAAAAACATGGAAGTTAGTGGAAGCAGGAATAACTGGAACTTCTACTTCTTTATTCTGGTTACTGAGGGAGTCGATTCTCAAAGATCACGTCTAGGCTCGTTATGGGATAAAATACCCATGATGTCTAGACTTTTACTGAACAAGGGAGTAACAACTGTTCAACTTCTCCTTGAACTGATTGGAGCTGACATGGACAACTTTACTGCTCTTGCAAGGAGACTGGAAGTTTGCTCTGTTCGTATAATAGATCTGATGCTGGAGAAGTTTAAGAGAGCATTATAGGAAGAGGACAAAAGATTGATATCTGGATGGTTTGATGGACTCTTAACACCTAATGAAAATGACATTTTTCATAAGTTGTGCATCAGGCCCAACCTGAAAGACTGTGAAGTTCTGGGTCCTCTGCTGGAGAAGGACAGTAAGGTATGGACTTTATTGGACTCTGCAAATGGAAAGACATTATATCAAAGGTGTGTTAAGGCCCTAAACAGGACAAAACTCAAAGACAAAAAAGAAGGACCTTGGAGAGAACTCTTTAGTGGTCAGTCTGATGTAAAACCAATGTGGAGTACGTTGTACAAACCACCACTGACCAAGAACACTGGTGACTTACAGTGGCGTATTCTACCTGGCATTACTGCAGTAAATGCTTTTTTATATCAATCATAAACCCAACTGTTTCAGATGAGTGTCCATTTTGTTCAGCAAGGGAGACCATTTTTCACTGTTTTGTACAATGTCCAAGATTGTTGTCCTTATTTGGTTCACTTAGAGATATTTTGAAATCTGTTATGGAATCTTTCACTAGCCTCATGTTCATATTTGGTTTTCCGTATGGAAAAAAGAAAAGGAAGAAAGGGCGTTTGTTGAATTTTATTTTTGGACATGCAAAACTGGCAATATATCTAAGCAGGAAAGAAAATATTAATGGAGGTCAGAGTTGTGACTGTTTGCTTTTTAAGAGTGTATTGAAAGCAAGACTTATGATGGAATTTAAGTATTATACAAAAATGAATGAACTGGAAATGTTTAAAACAAGTGGGACTGTAAAAGTTTTTTATTTACTCTTAATGATTCTGACATTTATTTTGCAGATGTATTGAAATAAGTTTATTGTGAAACAATAATGGAATAAATGCTTTTTTTAAATCAAAATCAAATCTCTCTCTGTCTCTCTTTGTCTCTTTCTCTGTCTCTCTCTCTGTGTCTGTCTCTCTGTCTCTCTCTTCCTAGTTAGTAAGTAAAGTAAGGTGTGTGTGTGTGTGTGTGTGTGTGCGTGCGTGCGTGCGTGCGTGCGTGCGTGCGTGCGTGTGTGTGTGCTGTACATGAATGAAGCACTCGTGGGTAAAAGCAGTGGGTCCTCAGTCACTTTCTGATGCGGCCTGATGTTTTTACACATGTTTTGTTTGCTCAAGTTTCTTTAAAAATCAGCCCTGATGTGTAACAGGACGTTTGTTTGTTTGTTTGTTTGTTTCCTGGACCTGAGCCTGTTTTAGCAGCCAGTCCTGCTCACCTGCTCCTTGTTCTTGTTTGTGTTCAGAGTTTGAAGAAGCAGCAGAGCTGCTGTCAGCTGACCTCGGGGGGTCCACACTCAGCATTTCTGCAGACACCCCCAGCAGCACAGCTGCAGGGGAGGACGTGAAGCTGGACATGTCTGAAGATGAGGAGGGTCAAGAGGAGAGTTCAGAGGTAAAACCTAAATGGAGTTTAGCTTCTTATTTTCAAATGGTCGGGGCAGCAGCTGACATGTGTCTGTGCTTCCAGCTCTTAGGAGAACAGAAAGCAAGTGGTGGCTTCTGGACCTTCAAGTACTACCAGTCTTTCTTTGATGTGGACACGCTGCAGGTACGATCTGACACCAGGGTAACGAAGAAACTCTTGGAGCAGCTTTTCATTTTGCCATCATGTGCTGCAGGTCCTGCACAGAGTCAAGGGCTCAGTGATGCCATTACCTGGAAGAAACTTCATTAAACACTACCTGCGGAATAACCCAGATCTTTACGGTAAGAAAACACTATTGTTTTGAATAAAATTTTAATAATTTTAAAATAATAATTTGTAGTGAGACTTTGACGGTAACAGGATGCAGTGTGCGCAACAATCCAAAGTCTGGTGCTTCACTTTGACTCAATGACCATCCAACGTTATTTCATTGTCCCGTGTCACAGAGCTAAGAGATCTGACAACATCTGTCCAGGTGCATGACAACTTGACATGTATGAGGCGTGAGGCTGCATGTAGCTGTAAGAAAAGCTTCTGTTCAAAATTAGGTTGCTGCATCAAAAAAATAGAACATCATGGAAAAGTTGTTTAACTTCCATAATTCCATTCAAAAAGTTCATCTTTAATAGATGATAGATTCAGGGCCCACAATTTAAACGATTTCAAGTATTTGTTTATTTTTACATAATTTCCAGGACATCCTTGTAAAAGACATTGATGATCTTAATGGATTTCTTCCTGCTAAAATAAAATAATAATAAAAAAAATAAATAAATAAATTTGGACTTCCAGGTCATGAAACCCACAAAAACAAATTCAAAAAATTAGAATACTGTGGAGAAATGAGCCCAAATGTTGCAGGACATGAATGTTTTAAACTGAGTGTGACACTAATCATCTACTAAACTCAAAGCACCTGCACAGGTTTCCCCAAGTGTCATTAAATTGCAGTTTGGATCAATATGGGGAAGACTGCAGACATAACAACTGGCCAGAAGACCATCATTGATGCCCTCCATAGGATGGGTAAGACACAACAGTTCATAGCTAAGGAGGCTGGCTGTTTACAGAGTGCTGTGTCCAAGCACATCAATGGAAATCAATCAATCAACCTTTATTTAGACAGGTAAATCCCATTGAGCCTCGAGGACTCATTTACAAGAGAGACCTGATTTCAACAAAGAAAGATGACGACAATGCACAACAGCAACAACAATAAACAGTTATAAAAAGTCATACTGCAGGTTTTTTTTTTTTTTACAAATAGGATGGCTAAAAGGAAAAGGTAACAAAAAAAAAAAAAAAAACAGCTAGATTCTAAGGCGAATGTAGAAAACTAACAACAGGAACATGTCTGCATTGGTCCCTGCCAGGAGTCCAACAGATTCTTAAAGACACTTAGAGAGGTCAAAGGTCGAGAGCTTCAAATCTTTTTGTAAGATATTCCAGGAAACAGGAGCGGAGTAGGAGAAGGTCCTTTTGTCTAGTTCAGTCCTCATTGAGGGAACACTGCAGGTAATAATGTCCTGAGAGCGCACGCTGTAGCTGCACTCACGCAGAGACATGTAGGAGGAGATGTATGAAGGCAACAGACCAAGAAGTGATTTAAAGATGAAAATGTACCAGTGAGAGAGTCTGTGTGAAGTTAATGATGTCCAGTTAACCAGTGAATACAGGGTGCAGTGGTGGGTACGATAATCACAGCCAGTTATGAATCTTAGTGCACCATGATAGACAGCATCCAACATCTGCAGCATCCAACATCTGCAGCATCCAACATCTGCAGGGTTCTTGTAGGAGCGTTCATGTAAATAATGTCACCATAATCAATGGAGGGAAGGAAAGTCACAGATACAAGGCGTTTTCTAGCATTCAGGGTTAGACAGGATCTGTTTCTGAAAAAGAAACCCAGTTTAACTTTCAGTTTCTTTACCAAGTTTTCCACATGGAGCTTAAAAGAGAGATGTGAGTCGACCAAGATACCCAAATATTTATAGGAATCAACAAACTCAATGGGGACACCATTTGTGCAAGAAGTGTGCAGTGCTTTGCCTCACAGAAACGTGGATTACAAGCGAAACGCCAGACTCAGTCTTCCAGCTGGATGACAGACTTTTATTTCGAGCGGACCGCTGCAGCGAGCTAACGGGGAAATCACGGGGGGGCGGAGTGTGCATTTACGTGAGTAAAAGTTGGTCCACGAACTGTACTGTTGTAAATAGCTCATGCTCGAAGGCTTTGGAGCAAATAACAGTGAAATGTCGGCCACATTATCTACCCCGAGAGTTCACAGTGACTTTTATCACAGTTGTTTACATTCCTCCGGACGCTAATGCTAATGAATCACTACAGGAGCTTCATGATATCATCAGCTCGCTGCAGAACAAACACCCCGAGGCTCTTTACGTGGTAGCCGGAGACTTTAACCACGTGAATCTAAAGGACTGTCTCCCAAGCTTTTATCAGCATGTGACGATTCCGACACGTGGAGACCGCACGCTGGACCGTGTTTACACGAACGTAAAAGATGCATACAAAGCCGAACCCCGCCCCCACCTAGGACTGTCAGACCACATCTCAATCTTCCTGGCTCCTGCTTACATGCCCCCGCTGAGACGCTCCAGACCGGTTCAAAAGAAAGTTAAATGCTGGATCCAGGACAGTGGCCCCATACTGAGAGATTGTTTTGATCGAACAGACTGGCAGGTTTTCAGAGAAGCTGCTGAAAATGGAGGTTCGCTTGATCTTGACCAATACACATCCTCAGTACTGGGTTACATTAGTACATGTACTGACACAGTCTCCACTATCAGAAATGTTAAAAGCTACCCAAACAGAAAACCTTGGCTGAATGCAGAGGTGCGTACCCTGCTGGAAGCCAGGAACACTGCCTTCAGGTCTGGAAACTCAGAGGAGCTGAGTAGGACAAGAAAAGAGCTGGTTGCTGGTATTAAGAGGGCCAAGGCCACATATGCAAAGAGGATCGAGGGTCAATTCATCTCACAAGACCCTCGGAGCATGTGGAGGGGCATTAAGTGCATAACTGATTATAAAGGAAGGAGTGAACAATGCCCCAAAGACCCATCTCTGCCTGATGCCCTCAACAAGTTCTATGCACGCTTTGAAGACCCGAACAGACCACCCAGCACCAGACTCACCTCACCACCGGATGAAGAGCATCTCAGCGTGACCTCAGCAGAAGTAAGGAGTACCTTCAGGAGGATTAATCCACACAAAGCAACTGGCCCAGACAACATCCCCGGAAAAGTGTTGAAGGAATGTGCTGATCAGCTCTGTGAGGTGCTGGCAGACATCTTTAACACCTCACTTACCCTGGAGACAGTTCCCACCTGCCTGAAGACTGCCACCATCATCCCAGTCCCAAAAAGCTCTACAGTGACTGGTCTGAATGACTATCGGCCAGTGGCCCTCACCCCAATAGTCGCTAAATGCTTCGAAAAACTGGTCATGACTCACATCAAAACAACCATCAACATCAACGAGGACCCTCATCAGTATGCATACCGTGAGAACCGATCAACAGAGGATGCAATCTCCTCTGTGGTCCACACTGCACTCAACCACCTGGAGCAAAAAAACTCTTACGTCCGTATGCTCTTTGTGGACTTCACATCCGCCTTCAACACCATGATCCCCCAAACCCTGATGGACAAACTATCCACACTAGGACTAGGCCCCTCCATCTGCAACTGGGTACTAGACTTTTTAACAAACAGACCACAGTTAGTGAGGATCCACAACCTCTCCTCCTCCACCATAACCCTCAGCACTGGCTCTCCTCAGGGATGTGTGTTGAGCCCCCTCCTGTTTACTCTGCTCACATATGATTGTGCAGCTACCCATCCAGGCTGTCACATTGTAAAGTTTGCAGATGATACAGCGGTGGTGGGATGCATCACAAACAATGATGAGTCC